AAAAAAAAAAAAAAAAAAAAAAAAAAAAAAAAATAAAAAAAAAAAAAAAAAGTAAAAAAAAAAAAAAAAAAAAAAAAAAAAAAAAAAAAAAAAAAAAAAAAAAAAAAAAATGCGTTTATGTTGCTTTCGTCTGGGGGGCGGTATCTCCAAGTCCTCTTTGTTGTCACCTTGCAATGTGGCAACTGACCCTTCCAAACTGAGCTCACTGTCCTCACTGGTTGGCTCACTATCCGAATCCGCGTTTAAACGATCAATGTTGGTAGGGAATCACCATCCTCATCTAGCTCCCATTTCCTTCCCCATCGGCACCCTTTTTGTTGCCGATTCGAGGATTTGCTGCAGGTTTCGATGGTCTGTGTCTTCTTTGGAACCACCACTACCTTGGAGTGAGGCCTGGCATGGGCATCCTCGTCTGCAATCCTTGTGGAATGGCTGCCCTGGAATCTTGTCTCTTGCTGCCTTCTTGGTGCTTTTGCGGGCCGACCGGTGTCAGTGAGACCAAGCTGATCAGCTCTGGCCCTTGATCTTGTCTGTCTAGCACCATAGGATTGAAAGCAAGGTCCAAACCAAGGCTTTCTGCATAGTTGGTGGCAGCGCTTGTTTGTTGCATGTGAGATTGCTATATCCCACAGATTTGATTTTTATTGCAGTAAGGGACTCAAACTCCTTCTTTGATGATGCCATGGCTGCAAGCTAGTAGCCAACACTAGCTGCTACTAGTACTAGCTAGGCGCACTGGCTGGTGATTTGATTCTGTGTGCTGGGGAACCGCCCGCTTACCAATCGGGATATAGTTTATGGTACCAAAGAGAGGGTTTGCCTTCCCGAAAAGACGGTCCAAAAAGTGGATCCCAAATCGTGAAGCAGGCAGTCTTGCCGGGCGGGCCTTCGTTGCATGCCCATGTGGAACACACAATCCCGATTCCAATCACTGCACGCATTCTTGGAAGAAATTACGTCACGGATCGGGATCGTGCTGGTTGGCGTTTGGTACCTGCACGCATGTCGATTCTAGCACTACCTAAAAATGCGCTTCTTAGATGTAATGCCCAATTCAGCGGTAGTTCGCATAACAGAACATAAAAGGATTGGTACAGAAAGTACAGCGGGACCGCCGTGCCGACATCAGCCCAACAGTACACTAGTACCGCTGTAGAGCCGCTGTAGAGCCTCTGTAGAGGATTAGCCAATCAGAATCGTTCGATCTTTAGATGACGTCAGTCGTGCACGTCAGTCGTGCACTCGATTCGACGTCATCAAAATCCTCTGGATGCTTGCTCCGTGGGTCTTTCGAAAAAACACGAGAAAACACGAGGAGAGACACAGCGAGAGACTGATCGAGCTGACACAGAGATGCGAATTTGAGCCAGATAGTGAAGCAAGACAATAAAACCGAGGTCATCCCGTTCGTATTCAGTAGCCGCAGAGGTACTTCGCAGAGGTGTACTTACCGCATTCAGTAGCCGCAGATTCAGTAGCCGCAGAGGTACTTCGCAGAGGTACTCACTGCAGCTGAGGATATAGCCGCTTTCACCGAAGATGATGAGTACGAGTACGAAAGAGGCGCCGGCTGGTATCGACCACTACATCCGGGACCTGTACTCCAGTGGACGGTTCCCCAAGGTGGACGACAATGGCATGGTGTTCTTGGCGGCTGTTGGCAAGACAGGACGTGCCTCTGTGAAAGCTAGGACTCCTCTAGTGGCGGGGAAATTGGATCGGCATCTGCAGAACCATTTCCCGCAGGGAGCAGTCCACGGGGTCACATCCCCTGTTATGAGAGCCCTTGCAAGGAAGGACGAAGCTGCAGGCCAGGGCCAGTCCCAAATTACGAATTTCTTTGGGAACGGCATTGACAAACGATGAAAGGCAACAGTCTCTAGCAACCATGGAATTTGAGCTCCCGGCTCACAATCAAATTCTCTTCTTTATGCCTGAGATATTTGACCGCAGCATCCTGGAAAAGCATTCGAGGTACAAGTTCATGGACCCAGCAACAGGCAAAGAAGGATTCAAGACTCCATGCCTCCATTGTGGCACCAACAAGCATATGTCTTTGGTTATCAGAAGTGGCATCAAGCTAGGCCAACACAGAGCAATTGCTTCCTTCAGGGTGGGCCAGGGTCCTGGGAAAGTCCATCCCAAAGACAAAGTCCAAGATGCAGGAGGCTCTGCTGCAGTGCTTTGAGGGCAAGCCAGAAGACCATGTGTTCCACTCCCACTAGCTAGCTAGCTTGGTGGTTGGGCCCCAAGGGGCCCAATCTTTATGGTTCAGAGCCCCCTGCGGGGGCTCAACCTTTATAGTACTAGCTTTTAAAAAAAAAAATTCGACTAGGGGTACCAACCCATGTGAAACTACAACTTCCGCCTTTCTTCAAAGCCGAAGCTTCAAATTGGGCTTCGCATCGTTGGTTACACTTCGCATGGATCTTCGTCGTCGAGAGACTCGACACAACGAACATGCTGCTACCGGTATCGGTATTGTATCATACTTACCGTACCGGTATCATACTCTACCGTACTCCGTTCACCAAAGACTTTCGCAATTCGCATTGAAACCGATCCGAAGCTAAAACTAGCTAGCTAGGAATGTGATGCTCTATCTCAAATGGAGGCAGCCATGGTTGCAGGCAAAGATTGCAACCACTCTGTCTTTCATAAATCAGATCTGTGAAACCCAAACAACAACAAAAACCATACTCTTTACTGCATAGGTAGTTTCTAATTAAATTGACCATGAGCTCTCTGGGAAACCCCGCGCCGCTTGGCCTTTTTGCCTTTGGAATGACGACAGGTCCGTCCATGTCGTGAACTGCAGGAACAAAAGATTCCAGTGGAACTCACCTTGTCGTTCTTGTTTGCTTCCTTGTTTTCTTGTATCCTGCAGCCATGTTGATGTTCGTGGACATGGGGTGGGTAGAAAGTGAATTCGAAGAAATGGTGACTGGATACGCCGTTTTTCTGGGTGGCGTTGCTCAATTGATAGTTGCCATCTTTGAGCTCATCAAGGGGTCCTCGTTCAGTTTTGCCGTCTTTGGCTGCTACGGAACGTTCTGGCTGGGGTGGGCGCTGGTGGTGATTGAGAACCATAGGCTTACATCGGAATTTGGAGAGTCGGGTTCTTACCCCAGTGGCAAAGCCGCGTGGTTCACTCAGTGGGGTATCCTGACAGCAGCCTTTTTTGTGATTACCTTGCGCAAGAACAAGGCGTTGATTGTGGTGTTTGCTCTCTTGACCACCACCTTCTTCTTGCTGGCGGCTGCAGCCGGCTTGGAAAACAGCGAGGTCAAGAAGGTCGCTGGGTACTTTGGCTTCATGACAGCCTTGGGAGCCTTCTACACGGGTGTAGCCGAACTGGTCAATGAAGAATGGGGACGACACATCTTACCTGGACTGGAACCCATCATCTCCCACGAGCGTTTTTCCATTACCAAGGAGAACATTTTGGCATCCCGCTGCTCGTATGATGCCAAGACCAACACATTGTTCCTGCGTTTTCGCGGTTTGCAAATCAAATCGATTCAAGATGTTGACGCCATCAAGGAGGGTGTCGAGCAAGCCATTCTCAACGCCAAGGCACCGGGCAACAAGATTCATGTGGTGGTGGACTATGAAGATACCGTGATTGCGGACACGATAACATCCAAGTATTGGACCATGGCAGCCGAATTGGAGCGTTCGTATTACTTGTCTGCCAAGCGCTTCCACGTTACTTCCTTTGGCACTCACAACCGTAGTGGTGGTGCGGCTCCAGTGACGGCGACCATGACCAATGTGACAGATACACCTCGTAATTTGGAGCACAAGTTGTCTTGCTAAAGAAAGAAAGGGCTTGGCCACTATATGGAAACAAAACCACAATCTACATACATGATACAGCAAATTACCAATCACCCACTTTTAAAAAGCAACTACTAGCTCGCTAGAATACACATGAACTATTATAACCAACAGATCATGGTCAAATAAATTCAGTTCTGGTATGCAACATCACTTGCAGGTCGCCACTGGAGTAAGCAGACGCTGTGGCAAGCTCGGGCGTCCATCGCTGGAGTACGAAGCGTTTTGATGGATGGCTGGTTTATCATATATATATATATATATATATATCTTCCACAGCCTTCATGATTCATTCATTTATTCATTCATTCATTCATTGCCCCAACTCACCCACAAAGATCATTTTATCACTGGATCCGCTGGCAATCACATTTTCCTTGGGATGGAAAATGACCGTATTGACACAACCCTTGTGTCCCGGCAACAAGTAGAGTTCCTCACTGGTCGGTTCATCAAATACCCGTACCATTCGATCGGCACTGCCACTGGCAATCATACTACCATCGGGAGACCAAGACGCTTTGAGGAGTCCCTTTTCGGCACTGTGTTTGGCGCCGACAAATGTTTTGCAAAGTCGTTGGGGTGCCGCACAAAAGGGTCGAATATCCCACGTCTTGATGGAATGGTCCATGGCATTGGACAGCAGATGCGTTCCCTTGGGGTGAATGGCCAAGGATGTAATGGTATCGGTATGTCCTTTTAATCCCATGGTTTTTTTGGTGTCTCGGATATCCCATTCGACAATGAGATTGTCAATGCCACCGGTGTACGCCTTGTGGCTGTCGGTATCGAGTGCGGCACTGGTGACTTGAAATTCGTGCTGTAGCGTGGTAATTTCCTTTTTTTGACGACAATCCCATAGTTTGGCACACGTATCATCGCTGGCGGAAAGAAACAAGTGTGAATTGTTGTTGTTATTGCTGGTATCGACGGCATTGACGACTTTATCATGTTGGAATTTTCGAATCTTGTCTCCCGTGGCGGCATCCCAATAGACGAGTGTCTTGTCGGCCGAGGCGGTAACGAGATGAGTATTGTCAAAAAACCAACTCAAGTCGAGAATAGCATTTTTGTGTCCTTCGAGGACATTGTAGTTGTGGTAATCCGAATGACTCCAGAGAAATACCTTCATGTCAAAGCCACCGCTGGCCAGAGTTTCTCCGTCGGGAGAGTACTGGAGGGTATAGACACTCCCTTGATGACCGGACAATTGCATGGTGGGAGCGGGAAGCGACGATGTTCGAAGATTTGTGTCGTTATCGGGAGGACGGTATTCCACTACGGCATTCCCATCATTGTCTCGTAAGCGTTTCGAGGGAGGTTCGGATACTAAACTCATGGTCGCCAAAGGGAACAAACAGGGGTCCCTGCCTTGTGCTGCAACAGAGGGGGGTGATGGAGCGTCGCTTCCGGGGTCTTGTGGATTCTGGGAGCTCTGTGGCTGCACATGGTTGGTGGTTGACGCAAAGCATAAGCTTGTAGAGCCGTTTATTTTCCCTTCGGGTTCAGGTGCTTTAGGCCCTTCAATACTAGCTAGTACTTGCCCAGTGCCAACATGCCCAGTGCCAACATGACACTGAGACTCAACTCAACTCCACAAAGTCTGGAATAATGGCTCCAACCCAAGTGGACTTCTTTCTCATTTTTGGAGAAGGAGTTGAGAATATGGGTCACTTGCTGGCCATGAAGGCTCCTTGGAATGCATCCATGGCTTGACTGTGAGTTTCATCGCACAACTGTGGCTGGAAAGTGACAGACTGGCCATTCTCACCAGTGAGGAGTCAAGTGTGGGATACACAGTGCTGATGAATAATCAAGTTAAAAGCTTGCTGTGAAGTTGGATGCTGGGTGTCCTCTCTCGTTTATTTGGTAGAAACCACAGAAAATACCAACAAGCAGGCTATGTAGACTTTTGTTTTACTAGTGGTACAATTCTTGCAAGAATGGAGAACGTGATTCTGAAATTCGGCATCAGACATGTGAGTACTGCAAATCCCTTGCAATATCATTGGAGTTGTCTGTCTGTTGACCAAGTGTGACTATGAAGGTGCTTTGCCAAAATACAAGGAAGCCCTTGACATATAATACTCTAGGTGTTTGGCCAAAGACACATGACACTGTCAAATCCTTCAACAATATTGGGCTTGTATTGAATGCCAATGGTCATTAGGATGGTGCTATGTCAAGGTTTCAGCAAGCCCTTGGCATTAGTACATCAGTGCTAGGCAAGACCCATCCAGATACTGTAAGCCTGAATCTCATAGCAACATTGGACAAGTGCTATATGCAATGGGTAACTATGACAGAGCCCTGATATCATTCAAGGAAGCACTTGATATTGATGTTTCAGTATTGCGTGAACAACATCTTTCTGTTGCAACTGGCTACAACACCATTCTGTTCTGGAAGACATGGGAGACTATGAAGCTGCTCTAACTAACAAAGCCATTGCCATTGATTGGGAGTACATACGGGAAGACTCATCCTGATGTGACAACCACAGTGCATATTATGATGCTGCCTTGTCAATCTATAAACAAGCTCTGGCTGTAAGATTGTCAGTATTGGGCAAGAATCATCCTAATGTGGCAATGTCCTACAAGGCAATTGATCTTGCCATGAAATAGCAGGGTTATTGTGATGATGCTTTGGCAATGTACAAAGAGGCTCTTGCAATAAGGGAATCAACGTTGGTACAGAACCATCCTGATACCATATCTTGCCAGCAGTTGATTGGTGCAGTTGAGGCAGAATTGGAAGAGGAATCGCTGTGGGCGTTAGCTTGGGAATAGCCTTGCATGGTACAAAGACCTACAAATCTTCGGTAGTATTCGCTACTTGTTACAAATAGACACAGTTTATGTAGTAGAAAATTTAGAAGCCAGCAGCTGAGTCCTCACCTCTGAAGGATGCCTTGCATTTTGCCTAGTCGTTCTGGAGTGGTTCTCCCTGTACGTTCCTGTATAGATTGGTTGCTAAAGTTGTCCGTTTTAACCCTTGACAAGTCATCTCTCACAGCATGCTTGCTGGGTTTGTTGAAACGGTACCTGCTTTTTCTTTATTAGGCATCCGCCACAAAGGCGCTACGGATACTGGATGCCAATTGTTTGGAAGCAACCGAGTCCTCCTCGACATCCGCATCGGGCGGCGGCGGTGGCGGTGGAGCCGGCATCATTTGGTGTCGTAGTCCGATGGGATGAATCATCATGGGCCACGGAGGTGTGAAGAAGCGATTCATGGAATACTTGTAATTCTGCCAAATATGTTCGAGGACCCGTCCGAATCCCGCCAAGACGGCAGGAGGTTGTTCCCAGTCCGCCAAGGGCAAGAATCTTGGATCGATATAGTCCTCCAACAAGGAAGTGGGTACCATGCGGTTGTGCTCCAAGGGCAATGACTTGTTGGTGCCGTGGACATGTGCGTCTGCGAGTTGACTCACGGTATCCATCATCAGTAGTTGCCAGGCATTGTGAATGGAAGGATTTTCGGATACGATATCGGGCATGAGCTTTGCTGGGAACTCAAAGACAATCACATTGTCGGTCAAGGCTTTGACTTTGAGAACCAGTTGATCGAGCGTAGTGTCCAAGAGCTTCAAGTGCTTGAAATGAAACACGCGTCCCGAGATGACAATGCGCTCATGCTGCACCACCTCATCATCACTTTTGTCTTGTTTTAGCAGTTGTAGTTGGCAATTTCCAGAATAGAGAATGTGCAAGAACTGTTCCGAATCAGGCAACACTTCCCCCTTGCCGTATCGCTTCACCGTCATGTGTTTTGCCACCGTCGTCTGAAAGACCTTTTTGGAGGCGCCTCCTCTGCGATAAAAGGACCTCCAGAGCGCTTCTTCTTCCTCACTCGCAAACTTGACGGGCATTTCGTCCAAGAACAATCGTATCAACCCAGAGCCATGATTGTACAGATTGACCGTGGCCCATAGAAAGCCATCCAATCGAAAGGTTCCTGGGTTGCTCACGTCGGGCCACAAGGGACCTCCGACGCAGGCATTGAGCCAAAAAAAGATGTATGCAAAGCACAAAAAGGTCCGAATCCAGAGCAAGTCGGAAAACAGGCCTACCATCAAAAAGCACAAGTTCCCCAGCTGAATCCAAATCGACAGCGGCGTTCCAATCTCCACCATGGCGTTCGTTCCTTCACCGTTAGTTATTACCAGGTAGTACTGCAATAGTTCAATTCGGCTTTGTTTTTTAAAAGGATGTCACAGCGTCTTCAATATCTTAACACCAAGGATTCATATGCCCTCTGGGTCGTCTCTGTTTCCAGTACTAGTTTAACTCGTTTACTAATACAGGATTATGGTGAATAGAATCGAATGAATCATGTGGCTTAAATTTTGAAGTCAACGTGGTTTATGTGAGGTTGTAAAAGTTTTGTGTGATAGTATGTGTTAAGTGGAGGGTTGGCTCGCTTCCGCTGGGAGCTTGGTGTCTTCTTTTTCCTCTGTTTCCCGCTCTTCGTCAGTACTGGGGTATTCGGTAATAGGATCGTGAGCAAGTTCGGCAGCTTTCTTCATACCATGTGGAGTGTCATCATTCTGACTATTCGCAGGTGACACTTTGGCCGACGTGGTTCGTGGAACAGGTGGAACGGGAGATGACGTATTTGGTTGCAATTGGAATGGGAATGGTTTGCGAATATTATTGGGAGGTCCATTATTGAGGATTTGAAAGTGAGGGCACGGGGATTTATACGGGAAGCTACTGTAGGAGATTTACCACCGTTCTCCTGCTGGTGCTTTTCGAGAAGAGTTCCAAGAAGGCCTCAAAGTTTCATGCCGGGGGTAGTGCAAAACCATGGGGAAGGGCCAGTGTGGCAGCTTGAGGCGAACTGGTGGAGTAGAGGTGGGGGGGGGATGGTGTGCGTGCGTAGTGGCTTGTAATAATGTTGGACGGGCACCAGTGATGGCCCGCATGCGACCGAAGTCCGATGCATCAAGGTTGTTTCGGTGAAACCAACGGACGTAAGACGTGAAGCGGGGAGTTGACCACGAGGCAAAATAGAGTACACATGGCCCTTGTCGTCTTGAGGAATTCGGATACGTGCGGATTCGCCTTGATCGATCCAAGAATCCGTCACAAAGGTGAGTCATGATGTCGGAGTGGGTGATCAGCTCACTCCAGTGTCATGGACTTGTACCACTTGTCTTGTTCGTCGAGAACTAGGAGGTTCATCCTTCTTTGCCGGTCGTACACGTATGCATGTGGCCGGTTTAAAGGTTCATTGAACCACTTCAAGGCATTTCTGGGTTGGGATCTGGGGCACAAACGTCACCAGTTTTTTCTCAACTTCACTCTGGGGCACATGATAACAAAGCCTCTTTGTTCATAAGCAGTAACGTTGGTGGCCTCGTACATAAGGAGCTTCCCCATCCAGCAAAGCAGGGTCACACCAATTTGAAATACCCACTCGATCATGTGTCTTGTCAGCGAGGCTTGAACAAGGCCATCATGTCTTTGGGTTTAAACGCGTTGACGGAGTGGTCTTTGCGTTCGGTTGTACATACACACGGTAGCTTTCTTTTCAACAAAGCCTGTGAACTTGAGGAACATTCCGGGGAAGGGGGATCTTCGTCTTCCTTTGAGTGTTGCTGGAATACAGCGTGGAAC